ATTTTTAGGGAGGCCTATATTAGAAAACAATTTCCTAAGTTACCCTTGCAGTTGATTAAACCTAAATTAGAAAACTAATTTTCAAAATAGAAAATTAATTTTTACTTTAGGAAACTGATTTCTAATTTAGGTAACTAACTTTCAAATTAAGAAACTAATTTCTAAATTAGGAAACTTTTTCCAAATTCTTTGCTTCTCCTTTTTACGTGCAAAAGTTTAAACTTATACGTATGACTCAATAGACTTCTAAATATGTTGACAATGTATCAAGAAGTAAAAGACACTTCTTTTATCTCTCAATACATAAATCAAGATTGGCCTTTAGCAAGGCATAAGGACTATCCAATTATCTTGAAGGATTATTAATCCACAATAACTTTTCACGAGAATGGTTTTCATACAATTTAGTTCTTATGTGAATTTATCACGAGTGTGATCTTGAACTTGGTTTATTTTCTATTCGATTATGATAACATAAGTTTACTTCGATCTCTAAATGTTTTACCTCTCGGGTAAATCAACTATATTTTATTGGTATACTTCCACTTTAGCCATATATTCTTGAGCAAATATTCATTGAAATGCAATATGATAACTCCTTTAGCATATAAGGAATGACATATCTTATCTAAGTTAGTCATTTATCTCCATTAGATTCCTAATACACCCAACAAATCATCTACATACAGACTTTTTACCGAGCCTATCGAAATAAATGTCAAAGTACATCAATCCTCTAATGAGATAATCATGATGACTTTAAGTCAAAGGACTACTTGTACCCATCTCTTATGAGATTCCCCTAGACAATACCAAATAAGTTCTAATGGTGAGTCATCTCCAATGATATGTTCTATAATATTATTCACTTTAGTATATATTTTGGATCGTTATCTTATAGTTCGAGTATAGCACTCACAAGTCTTACGACAAGTAGTCAATATTTATTCTTAATAATGCTACAACTTGAGACATGTTATGATATCATTTAAATGCATTGATGTTTATCTCACATTTATTGATCAATCATTAATGCAATGTATATCATATGGATTTCTATCTAATTCTATTAAATTATAAATAACAAGAATTAATAGAAAGATTATTTTTATTATTATTGAAAATACAATAATACAATATATCAAACTATCCAAACGAAGTTGAATTTAGGCCACCTACACTAACACTTCTTGGCTTCACCGGATATTTATAGGCCTTATCGTCGCTTCATGACCTCCGGTAATGGACTACTTCCTCTAACACAAGCTATTGTGCTCTATGCTTCTCTTCGTTTGCTATGAAATACATCCATATGTCTTTTTCTTGAAAGATTTTTTTATCTAATTCTATTAAATTAATAAAAAGATTTTTTTACTATTATTGAAAATGTAATAATACATATATCAAATCATCCAAATAGGTTGAATTTAGGCCACCTACACTAACACTTCTCGGCTTCCCCGATATTTATAAGCCTTATGTTGCTTCATGACTTGTAGTAGTGGACCACTTCCTCCAACACAAGCTATTGTGTTCCACGCTTCTCTTCGCTTGCTATAAAATGCATTCATGTGTCTTTTTCTTGAAAGATTTTTTTTTATCTAATTTTATTAATTTAATAGAAATATTTTATTATTATTATTATTGAAAAACCAATAATAAAATATATCAAACATCCAAGTAGGTTGAATTTAGACCACCTGCAATAACATTTTTTAGCTTCACCTAATATTTATAGGCCTTATGTTGCTTCATGATCTCCAGTAGTGGATCACTTCCTCCAACACAAGCTATTACGTTCTATGCTTCTCTTTGCTTGCTATGAAATGCATTCATGTGTCTTTTCTTGCACTCCACAACTTTGTTCTATTGTTTTTCCATATTGCAATCTTCCACATTTCTTAGTTATTTGAAATTGTGTTTTATTGCTATAGGAAGTTTGTTACTCTCCTAACTACATGCACATTAATGGTTAATCATTTTTTTTTTTTAATGAAATTTTCACATTATATCCACATCCGAGTCTACTTCCAATCATTTTAGAAGAATGCTCAAATATTTCAGTTTTAAATAATTAATTGCATTTGTCATGAATGTGTTGGGCTTTTATAGGTCCATTCAGCCCAACTAGGTGACTTCGATCCTCTTTTAAGTAGGTCTAGACCAATCGGTTTTTAAATAAGGTTAACCAATGGATTTATTTCAAGAGTTTGATGGACTTTTCTGAGATCTTGTAACTAATTTATTGGGTTTGGACTCTAGATAAATTTAGGTATTACTCTATGCCGTACCATATAACATGAATTGATTCCACAGCGTTTTAGTGATTTCATTGCCTGAAGTTCTTGCATTTCTTTTCTGGCTATTTATCCTCCAACTTCGAATTCGTCATTGAAGACCGATGGCAAGCTTGTCACTAACCAAACTTCCGACGCTACTGCACTCCATCTTCCAACCATATCTGGCCCCTCCACTACAAGCCTCCAGATAGGCAACAATGATTCCTGTTGATGCCAAAAATGTTGATCTGATCAATGGCAAGCGCTTTGAATGGACTCTTCGTGAAAAAGAAGAGAAAAAGTATCATCATCGCGAAAGATACTTTACGTTAACGTGCAAGAAGAGTGATAGAGAAGAAGTGATAAAGAACTACTTGCCTCATATTTGCAGGACTGCAGAATCAATATTGAATGAGCGCCTTACACTTGAAATCTTTACTTACGATACTGATGAATCTTACAGGTAGTCTACGGTCTTCAAGCACCCAGCAACATTTAGCACTGTGGCTGTATATCCTGACCTCAAGAAGTTCATAATGCAAGATCTAGACCTGTTTGTGGAACGCAAAGATTATTTTAAGAAAGTGGGTAGAGTTTGGAAACGAGGGTACCTTGTTTATTGTCCTTTAGGGACCGGAAAATCCACTCTAGTTATTGCTATTGTAAACTATATATCTTCAATACAATGTTTACAATCTTCAACTCCAAGGCTTAAAAAATTATGCTGAACTTACTAAATTGTTGGCCTAAGACAAGCGAACTGGTCTTGAGACGGATTTTTTTTTCAATGTGCAGGATTTAAATCTTGGAGTCACATTTGTTGGAAAAGAGTTAAAGTTTGTAGTTTCTGCTCCAAACAGGATTTAATCTTATCTCCAGTATAGGATAGAGATACCTGAGGGAAAAAAAATGATGCTGAATTAGGCATATACCCGCTTCCACCACAAATCGCTCCATTCTTCTTACCGAGGACATTGATTGCAGATCAAAGTCTTCGCAGTCTCGTGCTCGTCATAAAAAACCCGAACTAGATCCCAAGGGAACCAATGGTTATGTTGTCTCATAACTTTCTTCTCTATCTTGTCTGCTTTACATTTTGCTTGTAAGCAAATAATCCCTTATAGAATTATTAGTTAGGCTTTGTGAAAAATAAGATTTGCAATATGGGGGTTTAATATTTTCCTTTTAAGCATTAGCAAAGTCCAACTTGCTTATTTGTTAAGAATTGCTTGGACGGGATCGATAGCTTAGCTGGTAAAATCTTTAGTTCCCATTGCAAGAGAATTAAAAATCAAATCTAGTTTTGAGCCTACGGGCTGCGAGGGAAAGGATTGAAAACGAGGTCTCATCTAGTTGCTTTGTGTCCAACCTCCCAATAGGAAAGACAAAAGATAAATAAAAACAAAACAAAAATGATGCCCATTACTTTCGTTCACGTGTTGTCAATAAAATCTTTTTATTTCCCTGAACACCGTAGGTAACACTATCAGGATTGTTGAACTTCATCGATGTCCTATGGTCAAGCTGTGGGGAAGGAAGAATAATCATCTTCACGACCAGTTACAAAGAGCGACTAGACCCAGCATTGCTACGCCCAGGACGGATGGATGTTCATGTCTACATCGGTTTCTGTACTCGCGCAGCATTTGAGAAGCTTGCATCGACATATCTAGGAATTGAAGACCATGAACTTTTCTAGCATTGAAGATCTAATTCAGAGGATATCGGTTACCCCAGCAGAAGTGGCACAACAACTTAACTTGAAAGTCTCATCCAGTTTCTGAATATGGAGAAAGAATCAGCAGTAGAGAATAAAAGAGTTGAGGAGAATGAATCAGAGGAAAATGACGCTGAAGAGGATGACGAAAAGGTTACAGAAGAAGAAAGTTAAAGAGTGAGAAGATAAACCAGTGAATTCGTATGCCACGTTTCAAAACTGGATAAGAAGCACGGTTGGACATCTATATATCTGACTTAGGTGGCTCGACTTCTGTTAATCACACTCTCAATTCTTTACTACTAATGGCTTTCGGGTTCTTTCGTATAATTTTTTGGTTTTTCCTTGGCTCTTCTAGGGCATATATATATTAAACAGCTCTTAGGACTTTCAGTATTTAAGATTGGAAAATTCTAGGCAAACTGCAAAATTTGGAACAGTTTTTATGTCAAAATGCTACTGCAAATTTATAAGCATCCACAATCACTCGGAAATCAGAGCTCTTGTTTTCAAATACATAAAATAACACATAAAATTGTGTTTAGTTTATTAGAAAAAGAAAGCACTACTATGGAAGGTGAAACTGGTATTTGATTTTAAGAGTTGTAACTTGAGCTACAAATTCTCTAGTTTACAGAGTAGTTAGTATATACATCAAGAACCAATTCTAAAATATCAGGTATTCGTACCAATTGATTGTATGTCAAAAAAAAAAAAAAAAAAAAAAGCGAAAAACAGCCTACAAATATGCAATGCTCCTCTAACAATCATAGGAATTGCTTCCTAAATTGCAGAATAAGTTCCCAATTTCCCCACATGCTAAGCTAACTCGTCCCTATGGGATCCCCCACTGGTACAAAATGACACGGAAGATAAAATGATTTTTTTCTTGAATCAAGCAGTTCCATTTCCTGCCTTCTATTTTAAATACAGGTGGCTTTCTAATTTTCCAGCTGAATTCGCTTGAGTTCCCAAATCCCAATCTTCCATAAAAGAAACCGATATTACCTTGGCATAGACAACAACAGTAAACCCTGAAGGAAAGTACATGATGGCGGAAATTCGACTTTGGCAGATGTCATGGTTTCAATCAACTCTTCTATTAGATGCCTCAACATGAAAACTTCGTCTGGTAGATTTTTCGCCACCCAATCTTCCAACACCCTGCACAAATCTCAATCTTTAAGTAAAACTTGAAGAAACGGAACAATGTTTTCTAAGTGAATTATTACCAGAAAAGAAACCATGACAAGATTAACACCTTCCTCTCTCCTCTTTGAAGGTGATATTTTCATTGCTAGAGTATGGGCCTCCCCTAGACTTGCTAACATAATAGTGCAATGGTGGGCAATGCATGACTACATATAAGGGACATGCATTTGTTGGGACCTAAGTAAATGAGAATTCTGTGATCCTTAGCCATCTCAGACATTAGAATACAAATAAGTTAATTGGAAAGATTAGATACATATGTTGAAGTAACTTCCACTCATGTCAACTTTTTTCTTTTTCTTTTTTTTTTTCTCTTTATTTGTGTTTGTGTGTGTGTGTGTTTGTTTTGGGGGTGGTATCATCCAACACAAATTCAAGACTCTAGCAGGAACCTTATCGAGATTCAGTTGTTTATTTTCAATCACCACAATCAAGAAGGAAGCATTCTTCAGTTACTAAAAGGACTGACAAGCAAAAAACCAAAGATCTAAATTGGGAGACTAACCTTTGTTGAGATTCTGTATTGCTGCTACAATCTGAAAACAGAACCTTGATTATAGGATGTAGATCTAACTTTGAAGTTGAATCCATATTGCTCTCTGTGTCCAAACAATCACCGCTACAGAACCAAGAGTTCGGATTTACAAGCACAATTTGAAGCATGGGAGATTTTGTTCTCAAATCCCTGACCACAGTCCTGAATGATAGTTCATCTTTTGCACTTTCCATTAGCTGACTTGTGAACATTCTCTCCAAAGTATATTTCCTGTTCATGATGATCAAACCAATTTCTTGTGAAGCGCAAGGCTGCTATATCCCATATATAAACCTTTAGATTCACTACTTAATTTTTTGTGTTTTCTAATTAGCTAGTAGCACATATGTGAAGGAAATGAAAATAGTAGCAAAATATTCAAAAAGTACAGCAACCATATACCTGAAAAGGTCACCTGATCCACCAACTGGAAGAGAAGTGGAAATGTAGCATTTAAAAAGTCTAACTCCATCATCAACAGGCATGTCCCCATTTGCACATGGATAAGCTCCAATAAAAGATAAGCACTGTGGGCAAACAAATTGCTTCCACTCAATATCGGTAGAGAGATTACAGGATCTTGCAATGAAAGCATCTCCCAGAAAGCCATTGAGCAAAGATCTCTGATTTGCCCCGAGTTCCATAGCTTTTGTGGCTTTCTGGTCTTCCAAAGAAGGTCCAGAAACATCATGGATACCAACTTCATCAATATAATCTTGAGTATGATGTCTTGAATCACAACAAACTGAGGCTGGTAGTGCAGACAATAATCTACTACTGTTAGTTTTTTCCTCTGCAACTTTACATTTGACATTTTCACTAAGGTTTTCTAAATTGGGACATGAAGACCCTGATTTCCCATTAACACCATTGATTCTTCCAGATTTTGTTCCAAAATCCAGCATAGCTTCTTCACTTAAACCTTCACCACCAAACTCCTGTTCAGGCTCATACTTTTGGATTCTATATTTGTCAGAAAAATTAAATCCAGCAAGATCATCGCTGCAAAGTGTAACAGCTGTAGAATTCAACATGCACACTCCCTTTGCACATCTATATGCTTGTGCATACCTATTCACCAGCTTCTCACTTGCACCTCCAAATGAACAACAACAACCTCCAAACCAGTTGTCAGCCATCTCTGGCCAGTTAACCGATGGCATTTCCACAAATTGCCTACATATGAATAGAAATTCTGAGACATGCTAAAACTAAATAGAAAATCATTAAACTGATGCCAAAAATCTAAGTGCAAATTAACAACTCGAAGCAGCCTATATAAGAACTCCCCGTTTCTACAACCTACATGTCCCAATTTTCATTTGGTAAACCTGTAAATGGTATAGTAAGGTATTGAAAACATAAGGATGAATTCCAATAAAGCAACCATAACTAAAATACATACATACATATATATATATATATATATATATATATATTAGTTATGGTTGCATATTCAAGCAAAAACAACAGGAAGTAACTAGAACGAGCAACCAGCAATTTTACTTTAAAGGACTTCGAGTCAGTCTATTTGAGCAACTTCTGCAATAAAAATGAACTCCTTCCGTCCAGGATAAACTCTTTAAATCTGAACCAAACAATTACAACACATCAGAATAAAAAACCAAGCCCGGCATGACTAATGCACAGATCTACATCATAACACAGATAATCACTTTAAGCCATATAAATAATTACAAGTTAAAACCTTTCACCTGTTCTCTTAAATCAAAATTATAACTTTAATCAAACTTTTAAATCAAACCCAACAAATAACTTAACCCAAACAACTCAAGCACAAAATATTGCAAATTACCTGAATCCATAATAAGTGGCTTTAACAAATCCAAATCCTCATTACTCTCTCTTTCATCACTCAAATTCAACAAATCAAAGTTGGAAACTAAAGGGTGATCAACAGGAAGAAGCAAAACAAGCTTAACTTCGACATGATCATCAAAAGCTTTAAAATTTACTGGAGATTCAGGGTCAATTAAAACCCTAGGAATTGGAACCCTAATTGAAACCCCATTGGTTTCTTCATTCTCGGCAAAGGTAACTAAAAGGTGGGATCTTGAGAGGTTTAATTGGACTTGAAGGTTGTGAATTGAAGATTTTGTTTGTGAATTGAAGAGAAAAGCTTTAGATTTGGTGATTGTGATTGGGTTTCCCAAGTGAATCTCCATTTTCTAGGGTTTTTTGAAGACATTGGGGTTTTTGAATTTTGTTTGTGCTGCAGGAAGGGTGGGTTTGATACCCGCTTAAAATTAAACTGATAGTTTTGTTGTTGTTGTTTGGGCTAAAAGACTTCATTTTTAAGGCCCGTGAAGAGAAGGTTTAGCTCTCTGAAACTATGGGTTAGGAGGGTTGTTACAGTCTAATAATGGGCTTGACCTAGTTAATGGTTAGGATTATGCCTGTTGAATTATCTCGGGTTCGAATTTAAAAAATGTTACGAGAAATCAGTTTCTCGGACAAAAGTAGGAAAATTTAGAAATTAAGTCAAGAATATCCCGATTATATGTGTGTACATACACATACATACATAGATATACATGTACATGCAAGCATGCACATACATATATAAATATACATACATATACATATATGATATCGAGGTTCTTTAATGTCTAGCTTTGAAATCAGTTGCAAGTCACTCATCAAACACTTCTAGCACTTCTCTTAACCTTCCACAATAAAGAAAAATGCTAAGAAAGGTTAAACCCATAAAAAATGACTCGTTAACTCGCTAACTCGAATACAATTCATTTTATATTATCCATTTTCCGACCAGAAATTATTGTCTAATAGAGTAGATTAACTCTTGTGTGGGTTAAGAATTGGTTTTTGATACATTATGATATTTGATTCGAGTTGGATTTTTAGGGAGAGAATGGCTGCCAAATCATTAGGTTATGGAGAATTGAAACTAAATTAGGAATGTGAGGGGTTTTTAATACAAATCCTCCTAACTTGATAGTTAGAAAAACCCACGAATAAGATAATTGAACACCGAGAAAGCTAAATTAGATTCAAAAAGGATATGAACACCACAATCCAAAATAGTTAGAAAGAAAGTGACAATTCACTTAAATGCTATAAGAATCAATTAGATTCTTGATAAGTTTTAAACTAGTACTTAGAAGAACTTAGGTGTGAATCTCTTACAAAAATTTGTTTGATTTAATAATGTAATACCCCAAATTTTATTTTATTTTATTATTTTCTTTTTTCTTTTGATATTTTGGTATTTTATTTTAGTTTTTATTTATTTATTTTAGTTCAAGTTTTTCTATTTCATAAAAAAAATAGCTAAGAAATTAAAAAAAAAGTTTCTTTAATTGAAATTAGGAATTTATTACAAGAAAAATACAAAAAAATAATAATAATAATTAAAAAAATGAGATGGATCCCCTCCATCTCTATACAAATCACTCTACAACAACTCGCAATCACCCCTACTCGGTAACCTTCACCCTCCACAAGTCAACCATTCCAAAAACCCCTTGCCGTTATTACTACGGTCCACCCACCACCCATTCCTCCAAACTTCCCGGCCTAAGTCAACTTCCAGCGAACCATCCTACAATTGTTTCCCCACGATCCTACGATAACCCCCATAACCCTCACCATGTTGCAACTCTTGTAGCATATAACTATCAACTCCTAGTGATCCTACAAAATCCCTCACCATCATGGTAGGGAACCAACAATTGATAGTATATCATTCACAACAATTAAAAAAAAAAGAAGAGGAATTCGAGTTTGAAATTTGAAAGAAATAATAATAATAATAATAAAAGAGGAAACGGGACGATGAATCGAAAAAACAAAAAAGAAAGGGAAGAGAAACAAAATTGACGTGTTGAAGCGACGAATCCACATTCATCCTTATCTCGATGCTCCTAGGTAACCATTTTAATTTTTCCTTTAAAATTCACTTTTTGATTGTGAATTAAAGTTTTTTTATATAATTTAGGAATCTTTGTTTTGGATTGAAATTGGGTTTAGGAAAGCGAATTAAGTCTAATTGGAATCAATTGAAGTTAAATTGAATTCAATTAAACCTAAGGTTCTTGAAACTTTTTAGAGAAAATGAAATTAGGGATTTTTATGAAATAATGGCTCAATCGGTTTTGAATTGGCTTGATTTCTCTTGAAATCAAGCCAATTAAGACCAACCGAAAGAAAAAATTGAAAAAATAAAAAAGGCTAGGGTTCGACCAAATTATGAAAATTTTTGAAAAACAAATTGATTGGAGATTTATTGACTCGAGATGGAAGGAAGAAGTTTGAGAGTGAAAAGGAATGAAGAAAGAGGAGGAAAAGAATAGAATGAACCAAAAACTTCTAGGTTTCATTCCATCATGATCTGTTTAGCAAAAAAAAGAAAAAGAAAGAGAAGAGAGAAAGGGGATATGAGAAAGGAGAAGGAAAAGAAAGGAGGAGAAGGAAAGGAAAAAGGAAGGGGAGAAGAAGAGAAAGAGAGATGAACCATTATTGGTTCGTCTTTCAAGGGGAAGAAGAAGATGAAGAAGAAAAGAAGAAGAAGAAAGGAAGAAAAGAGAAAAGAAGAGAGAGCACGCGTGTGCGCAAGAGAGAGAGGAAGGAAAGAACAAAAAAAAAAAAAAGGGGTGTTTGATCTAAAAAAAAAAAAGAAATTATTTTTGTTTGTGTTTTTCGGTTAGACTAAACCCATCTCGTGTGTGATTGGGTCGGATCGATTCCAGTCTAGTCCAACCTAAAAAATAAAGGAAAATTTGGAATGGATTGATTCCAGTCCAGTCCAACCTAAAAAAATAAAAATTGATAACTAAAAAAAAAAAAAAAGGATTTAATCCTGCATTTATGTTATGCACGTTTGTCATTTTATATTTAATTTAGATTTCAATGTTTTAATTTTCTTTAATTTATTTAATTAATGTAATTTTAATTTTGAGTTTATTTTAATGTGTGTTTGTTATTTTATGTCTAGTTTAGATTTTAATGTTTGAATTTTCTATAACTAATTCAATTAATATAGTTTTGATTTTTATTTTAGTAAGATTAAATAATCAATAGGTGGATAATTGTCAAGTCTCGTTTTTTTAAGGACTCATGACGAGTTTTTCACTAACCAAAAATTAAAAAAATTAAAAAATCATAAAACCTTTAACAAAGTCTTCTCTCTTATAGGGATTATTGTTAGACAAAAGAAATTATTTTTAATAATTTAGGTGTTCTCCAACACACCAGTTGTGTCAAAACTCAAAAAGTGGATCCGATGTTTAAATTAATGTGTCTTCCAACGGAAGGGTCCGACGATTAATTCAATATGATATTACAAACAAAAATAGAAAAAGTTATTTTTGAAATAAAGAACTTGGAATTCAGACTAGGATTAATTTTTGACAAAAATAGAATTCTTTTAGGAGATAAATTTTAGGACTAAACTAGACGTGACACCTTTATCCAAAAAGGACATTTTTGATGATTAATATCTTTCTAAAATTGTAACTAACTCCTTACCTTAAAATCTCTAAACTAGTGCTTATTTTAAGTTTCTAATTCTTTCAATACTAGGTGGCGACTCTAAACTTGTAAGTAACTCTGTAGATGAAATCTTAATTTTTTTGAGATTCTCATCCGATATTAGGTAGCAATAGAATGGTGACTCCACTTAAGGATTTTAGAGTTAGGTCGTAATATCCACGATCCAAAATCCTCCTTAAACATAAATATATTGTAAAGTTATTTTAATTAATTAATAAAAATATGATTACTAGATATGAAGAATAAAGTTGAAACTTTAATTAAGAATGAAATAAACACAAGTATGATTAAAAGGGAAGGGTAATAGAATGAGTAAGGCTTGAATTAGAGATTGGTACCCTTAATTGATATGGTTATGTTTTAATCTAAGGACATAATTGAAAAACCCAAAGGCATAATTATAAAAATTAAAAGTTTAGATACTTGATTAAAATGACTAAGCAACTTTAGGGAATTAAGTTACCCTCGAAAAAGTCTAGGATAAGGGCCAAATTAAGGAAAATTATGAAGTTGTGGACGGAAATTGGAGGGGCTAATTGCAAAGGTGAAACGTTTAGGGACTAAAGTATAAAGTGTTAATCTTTTGGGAGAATTATTAATTGATTTTAAAGGAAAATATTTTAGCTAGAAATTCTGGAAAATTTTAGAGAAAATGGGAAGGAGAAAGTCCGATGAGGAGGAAGAAATAAGAGAAAATATCTAAGAAAAAATAAGAAGAAAAGATGAGAAAGAAGAAGAAAAATCTAGAAGTCTTTAATAACCAAGCTTAAGATTAAACCAAGTGTGATACACTGGGCTTAATTCTAAGAGAAAATCATAGCTATAAAATAGGAAAAAGAATACGGAAGAAGGTTTACAAGCTAGAAGCCTTCAAGTGACTATAAAGCAACGAATTACACCAACCAAGAAGAAAACCACCTAGCTACCACTCCAAAACACCTTAGATACCTTAGAAACACCTTAAAAAAAACTCACAATCAGAATGGAAGATCAAACAAAGAGGGAGGAAAAAGAATTATTTGGGTTGAAAATTTTGGAAGAAAGAGAAGGAAGAAAGCCAAGGAGGAAGAAAAGAGGATTAGCCAAGCTTCAACTGAGGTAAGTGTAATTCTCACTACAACATAAGAAAATAGTATTTTTGATGTGTAATTAATGTTAAATTGGAGTTTAATTATTTATGGATTAATGGTTAAATTGTTGAGAATTGCCATGTTGTTATTGAATTGGATGATTTTGATAATGTTTATGTGTTGTTCAAGTTAGAATTATGATGAATAGATGATTAAGCTGGATTAAAAGAGTGCATCTTAAGGTTGTCCTTGTTCTTAGAACAAGGTGAATGGATGCCCTAAAAAATAAATAAATTAGTGTTTTTAGTATCTAATGCCTATAACGTGTTTGATGAAATGTCTTAAAAGTGTTTATAATGTTGAATTGGAAGAATTCAAACTTGGTCACTTTGTGGAGACTTTTAGCCTTAGTAAGAAGTTTTGGTTGATTGATCTACTTAACCTAATTGATTTATAAATGAGTGCTATGTTAAAGGGTTAGAGATGAAAATTTGAGGTAAGATCACTAAGTGGAAGTTAGTCTTTCATTTGGTCTCTTTTGGCCTAAATGAGGAAAATAAGGGAAATGGTTAGTTTTGAAATTG